GTTAACAGTTAAAGATGATGATCATGTATGTCCTCATAAATGAAGGGCTTTTTTGGAGGTGTAGTAGGCCCTACACTCTAACTTACAGTGCTCCCTGTCATTATACTTTGGTCCATCATACAGTGGTGGTAATGAATTTGGAAAGATAAGACCGTATAGAAGATATCGGAATGTAATCGGTATCGGCAGATATCCAAAATTAGTTATCGGAATCGGATCGGAAGTGAATTGTGTATCGGTGCATCCCTAATTCAAACATTTCGAAAATGCTTTCTGCTGCTGCGACAAGAAAGCCAAACAACTCACGTTCACCAAGGCATCAATCCCAAAACCTTTTCGAGGGCTACAAGAAACCGAAGCTGACCCCTTTTTTTTCTCCAAAGTTCTTAAAGATAAGCTGGCAGATAACGAACGCAGTAATTAACGGAATGAGCGAAAGAAAGTGTGTGTGTGAGATAAAATAGCCCAGTTGCCCTTACAATAAAAAACATTGATGTGTTTAATTGAATAGTAAAGGGGTTTAACGTTAGGTGCAGGTTGTGTGTGAGAGAGAATAAATAAGACGGCCCAATATTTAAAAAAATTGTTATTCTTTTTCCCCGCATATTTAGCATATTTCGCAACTTTCCGCATATTTCGCAACTTCCCGCAATTTCACCGCATAAAATCACATAAAACCCCCGCATGTTTAATCGCATAATCAAGGATTTTAGCCCGCATAATCAAGGATTTTTGCCCGTGTTTTTCTGGAGGGTCTACCTATTCTCCACTCATATAATAAGCGTATGAAAAATATCCCTCTAAGGTACATTTAGAACAGACAAAAAATGTGCGATTAATTTGCGATTTAACTATGGACAATCATGCGATTAAATATTTGAATCGACTGACAGCCCAATTTAAAGTGATTGATACATTAATTAGAGGGCATCTTTGTATTAAAGTACAGCCGTTACTCTCCCTCTGACATTGTTAGTGCTTTGTAATAAATGCTTGACCAAGCTACAACAACCCTTAACTTCCTACTCCTACCTTACACAAGATGTATTGTGTAAGATTTATACAAAATTGTAAGCATGAGTGATCCACAGTGTTTCCCATTATACCTGCCAAGCAATACATACAAATGTGTTTATTTCTCTTTACTTTACATGCTTGAAGCCATAAGGGAAGCCCAATGTTGCCTCTGTATGCAGACCTTTTGAATAATGGACATTGGGTATCAAAAATCTATCTACTGAAAGTTATGATTGGATTTATTTTAATTAATTCTAATTTTCCTTCATATTTCTGCCAGAATGACGACAATTGTTTAACACATTTCATCTTATGTTGTCTTTAAGACATTTTTGGAAATACTGAATGTAGTCTGACGGGCTTGTCATTGCTTCTCTATTTCTGTTCTCTCCTCAGATTGAACGATGTGATTGATTGGAGGCAACTGCACTCCAATGGTCGAGGACCTCACCCCCCCTCCACTAGAATGTACTTGATGAATGTCCCTCCTGTCGCAGCGAGGCAAACAGAATGGAGAACATGTGGCCCACCTGGAGGCTATAGCCTTCCAGTCTGCTTCAATGACTCTGACCCAGAGTTGTCCACCAGAGGCACACCTATCTCAGATAAGGTCCAGATGATCATAGAGAGCCTTAGGAGCACCCAGACCTCACTCGAGATGGGCGACGAGATCGAGGGAAACGTACCACCAGGACAGGAAGTTCATCCCCAAGTGTGCAAGGTTGCGATGGGTTCTTATGTGGGGGCTGAGTCCAAAACTAAAAGTCCCACTGAGAACCAACAGGCAGATGCTTCCTCCCCAATCAACCACGAGAGGAGTGACTCTGACAGCGATAGTTCTGTAGACAGAGGAATTGAGGAGGCAATACTGGAATATTTGAAGGAAAAGGATGATCACAAACGCAAGGCAGAACCATGCTTCACCTTTCTCGAATCATCCAACATTCCCAGGAAAAGCCCTCCTTTTCCTGAGGTTTCCAAACAGAACTCTGACACCAATACATTTTTGATTGCCAGCAGCCAGTTCCCAAAAAGTGTCAAAGCTGAGACTCCCACATCACCAGCTGTTATACCTATAAAAAAGTATATCAAAAACAAAATTTCCCCAAATGAAAACACAGCTAATACATTTGATTTCAATAAAAGTTCAACAACCAAAAGTTTAGTCATGCCCCCAGAGCCAATGAAGTTCCCCTCGAAAACAATCAACCTCTTCAACAAAGCAAAATGCCCGGTCAAAGTTAAAGTGGAGGAAGACTCAAATGATTCCAGTAGTGATGATGGCATCGAGGAAGCCATTCAAAGATACCAGTTGGAGAAAAAGGAGCAACAGGACAAACCAGAACCCTTCATTCCACATGCATTAAAAGAAGAGTCTGACTCAACTAGCGATGATGGGATTGAAGAAGCTATTCGCTCTTACCAGCTTGAGCAACTCAAAGATAAGAGTGTCCTTAATCCATTCTTGCACAAGCCAAAGCACTTTACTAAGTCTTTACTGCATGCTGTTGGAAGTACGAGCACTGAAAAACTGAAGAAAAAAAGACTGAGAAAGAAGAAGACCGTAGCAGAGAAAGAAGTCAAATCTGTTCAAACTCCTTCTTCATCCGTTTTCATACCCAAGAATACACTCTCCGGGAGCTCGAAGGGTAAAGGAAATGAATTGCTTTTGTTTCAAGTTGAAGGTTTTAAGGAGCAACTTACTACGTCCCCTTCGAAAATTAATACTACTGCAGAGCTCATGTGTGCTGAGGCGATACTGGACATTTCAAAAACTGTCATGCCTGAAGTCTTCCATCATAGTGTTGGCCATAGCAGTTGCACCCCCACCGAATCTTCTGTGCAATCATCCCCTCCTGGCAACTGCCCGGATGAAGAAAGTGATGGCAGCTCCATTGATAGTGAAGATGGGATAGAGCAAGAAATCAAGAACTTTCTTGAGCAGAAGGCCCAAATGCTCAAACAACCGCCCACTGCTAAGACTCAAGAGCCTCAAAGTATCAATGAGCCAGAGACAGCGAAAGAAGAACCAGTTGCAACTCAAAAGAAATCCCTAAAATTGTCTTTGACTCAGAGAAGAAAACAAAGAGAGGCAAACCTGAGCATTTCCAGCCCTCCAAAGACAGATGACAATGTTGAAGAAACAGCCACTAAAGCTTCACCTGAGCGTGGAATAGAATCCAGCCCATTATTGTTTTCCCAGTGTAGTCAAACACACCAAATGTCTAGACTAATGAAGACGGAGCAGAGTGGAGACAAAAGCAGCTCGCTTGACAGTGATGAAGACCTAGACACGGCTATAAAAGACCTGCTCAAGACAAAGAAGAAGACAAAGAAAAAGCGAGATCTTAAGCGGAAATCAAGGCTGAGCCTAACGGATGGAGAACCATTGCTAGGAAATACTTTAGAGACCAAAAAGTTAAAAATGGATCCTATTTCCATAAAAGTTCTGAAAAAAGTAGAAAAGAGAAAAGTTGAGGTGAAAGATAAGTCTGGATTAAGTAAAAACAGAATTTCACAACACAAACAAGGTGAATTGACAGCTGGTGTTCAAGCCACTCTGTTGCCGTACATTACACAGACTGCTGTTGAGACAAAGGAAGACAGCAGTTCAGTGGACAGCGACGATAGCATCGAGCTAGAGATCAGAAGGTTTCTGGCTGAAAAGGCGAAAGTATCAACCACGGAGAAAAGTAAAGATGAAGATCTATCAAGAAACGGTACTACGGCGGTTTGTGCCCCACTTCAAGAGAGAGACATTAAACAGGAAAATCAGCAGGCTGAAATTCCAAGTCCGGGACAATCTCCTTTCTGGAGTCAGCCTCTTCCTACACCACAGGGTTTGATGCCAGACATATCTGCTGTCGGCGCACAATCGCGTCTCTCCTGCGGCCCGACTGCTTTGGAGCCAGCAGACGGGGCAGGGGTGGCTAGAACTGAGCAAATGAGGCCTACCTTTGGAAAAGGTATCTTCCACAATGTCACCCCACAGATTGCGAAGGTTAGGCCTGTGTTGAGTCCTAACATTGCTCATTCTCGCTCTGAGGCAAACAAGTGGCGCCAGAGCTTCGGACTTCCCATTACTGACTCTAGGATGCCTAGTCGAACTCCATTCCATATCACATCTTCTAAAATCAGCGAAACTTCATCAGCATCTCCCGCTTATCAAAGCGAGGGGCCCAAATCACAAACTCCAGGCACTGTTTGGTCCTCTGCAAGGACCAGCAGAGCTCCTTTGGCCTGCTCCACAGAGACAAATGTAAAGGCCACGTTCAGATCTCCTGGTTTGAGTCTTTTGTCAACTGCCAGGCAGCATCCAAGAGTGTCCTTTACACAGAGGTCTCAGTTCCCTATAGAAGGAGAGACAGAGAGTATGGTGCACATATCTAAAGACAAGAGTGTGTTTGTTGAACTGGAGTCTAATAGGACCAACCATGTCCAGGTTCGAAGCAGGGAAAGAAGCGAGGGAAATGAGAAAGTGGACTTGCTACGTGAGATGAAGAGAGAAAGTCAGAGTATGGAGATAGACGATAAAGAAGAACATCTAGAGAGGAGAGAGGAAGAATTTATAGACGAGGCAGATTGTGAGTCAGGCAACACCAGAAATCCAGGGCAGAAGCAGGGCTATTCCGATTCGTAAGTATTTCCTTTGGCCTCTATGTCCCATAGCATCATGAATTCTATTTAAAATGAGCTTCTCAATTGTGACATGCTTATACATATAGTATAGGTTATGGTCAAGCTCATTCATGTATGGGATGGAAGGGAATGTTTGTTAATATGATAAGATGAAACAGGCTTTCTTTTTATATGTGTTTGTACATTTATATGGCTTTGTAACGCAATGGCACCACCATGGCAACTTTTTTTGTTATTTCATATCAGCAAACCTTTGGAAAGCAATACAGTTAAATGTTCAAACTGAAGGCAGACTGAATAAGTAGTACGATTATCAAAAGGCTTTCTTGGAGAAAAAAACAGCATCATGCTAAATACTTTTCACGTTTTACGTACAAAGAATAAATAAAGATTTAGGGTTAAGACCAAATGCTTCAAATGTGGATGTATCTTTTTAAATTTGCCACAGAGAAAACTAAAATAGTAATGGTAATCAGAAAATACATGCTGTCATCACAAAATCTTACCCAATATAACTTATGGGCTTACTTTAAGTCATTTCATGTGCAAAAGTTAAAAAGTATTGTTGATGTTATTGTAATATGTTTTCCATCATTGCCTTCATCAGGGGTATCTCAATAAAAGCCATAAGAAAAAACTAAATTACAGTGTTCAATTAATTCATGTTTTGGAGTGTGGTTCATCAAAAAACGACACAGTTTGGTTTCATTACTTGATTGGTAAAAAATGAAGCATAAAATAGATTTGCATGCAAAACACATTTTTCTTTGTCAGAGTAAATTGCATTACTTTAGGTTTTGAACATCACATGGGTCTCTGAGAAGTTCTGATAAGTAAAGATGAATCAGTTGATAAATAAATGGCTAATGGAAACTAGGAGGCCACTTGCAGAATGCAGACCCAATGTCCTCTCACCCATAGATTGAGAATAGCCTTTCTAACTTTTGCACATAAGGGAAATAGCCAGGGTACACTTTAAAAACAGATTATACCCTTGACCCCTTGACAGGCACCTTTTGTAGAAAAAATCTATAATAACATTTGGAGTGGAACAATCATGTTTCCTCTCTTAACTACTGTAGAAACCTTAAACCACATCTTCTCAACATTTGTATTTCATAGTGCCCTTTTATGGTTTAAACTCAGATTAAAACGTATTGATCATATAAAAGCCACAATGACAGTCTTGGATTTATGACCTCTATGACTCAAGCGTTTTTCCAGAAGCCACATGGTTATTTCTCTCTGGTTGATTATATTGATATTTAGTGTGTTAATTTCTTTGTCATGTTGACGTTTTCTTGAATTTCCTATGTGAAAAGGGTTATTTATTTTTGTTTATCAAACAAAAGAAGTTACTGAACATGCTGTGCATTGCCAGGTTTTGTAAATATTTTGTAAGATCTGTTTCTTTTTTTCTTTTACTCTTTCAGAAAACTAAATGTTGCTGTGTCTTCTAAGTGCATCTGTGTAATAAAGATTGGAATCCGAGCTACATTAATAATGTATAATAACTCTAATTGCATCACTGTAACGCTCATCGAGGTTCATTGAACCCCTACAATTTGAATTGACACACTATGTTAACTTGCTTGAAGATGGAGTTTGTGATGGATTAATAGAGCATTAAGTCATTACTGGGAATTTGTCTGATGTGTATCCTGCTCTTTGCCCAGGTCTTTGTCCAGTGCTATTGACCCTGGCATCACCTTCAGACCTTGCATAGCTCTAACCACGGAGGATAGAGTCAGGATGTTCGACACGGGGTTCCTTACACGCACACGCAAGAAGGTACAATTACATAGAAACCCCAATGTTAGCTGTAGCTTAGGTTTCTACTTTCTACACGCTGTATCTTTTGACCTGAAACCAGATATTTAGCAACATAAAAGCTCAGATTCTTCAGCTATGGCAACGGCAATCTTTGGGTGTTTTTGTGTTATTATTTTCATTAGATGTGAGTTAAAAGTAGTCAGTATCCAAAGTGAGAATTATTGCAATATGTTGCAGGGGGTTCCTTCTTACAGCTGTGCTCCTGTGTACAGAAAGGCAGTGGAATGTGTCAAGAGAAAGCTTCAGTTCATTTCTGTCGACAGGTATGTGTGTGTGGTTAGACCTATATGTTTCTTTCCACAGTGACTAATCACATTCAAATAAAAACCCATTCATTTTGGACGATTTTCATCTTTTTCAGGAACAGTGAAGCATCCAGCCACCACAGCGTAACAAAATAAAACATACCTTTGCATTTGAGGCATGCATGTCGCAATATGTGGGTTGCTGAATAATTGTTTTACACTTCATTAGGCGTTCGAAGATTTGGTGTTAGACTTGATGTTGAAGGCAGGTGGCATTGTTTTGGTTGGATTTCAAAAGAAACATCTTTGTCATCTTCCTAATCAAATATTAATAAGGTTTTTCCAAAATATGTAATCAGATTTGGAAGTTAATTTGTTGTTTATTTAGCCAACAGAGGGCATCCTTTTTCTTGAGTTTTGGCAGTACATCTTCAGTTTTTACGTTGCTTATAAAATAATTAGTTTTAAGGTAGCCTATTGATATTACCTTATTATTATTATTATTATTTTCCTGCACCAAATAGATGACATGAAACATACTACTGCTGTTATTGTTTGTTTTGATATGTCATCTTTATTGCCAGACGTGTTCAATTAGTTATTTCTTCAAAGTAACGTTGATTTATATTGTGTATATCTTTTAAAGCCAAATAACACGATGCCGTTGTTGTCAGTTGTGTTGTATTTCTTTTTCAATAAAGTTTAAACGTAAAGACAATGATTTGCCGTCATGGGTGATGTAGTTTAATGCATAGAGCGTTCACGACAGACGGACTTTACGGCAGTCCCCGAACTACAAACACGCAGTCGCAGTTTGCTGACCTTCCGTGGTACTCAAGCAAGCATGGCTGCCCGGGCACTTACGAAAGGTATGGAAGCATAGTTTACTATCCGACAAAGTAATGTTATAAACTGAATAATGTGGGAGTATCACAAACAATAAACATGCTGTAGCGTTGTTCTGCTTGTAATGCTAACGGGCACATTAGCATCACAGCTAACGTCCGTTACGTTAGCAAGCTCCGTAGCTAGCACTACTCGCTTGTCACAAGTTAACTTATATCGTTTTCTTTGACTGATATTTGTGTTTTATCTCAAGGGCTTTGGGCGCTACGACAGTCCAGAGCTGTTAAAATCGGATACCCCGCTTCTGGTCATTTCTACGGCACCGAGGCAGCTGTCAAATCACCTCAACTACAAGTTGAGGATGCTTCAGGTAATCTAACAAATGCTAAACCATCAGGTCAGGTGTGTGCAAGTTGGATTTGTTTTATGTTGGACTTTAAGCAGTGTCATTTCTCCTACATACAGAAAGGATAATGACCCTGCCACTCAAGAAGCCTGACTTCTTTCGTGTGTCAGAGCTCTTCTCGGTCAAATCCCTGTTCGAGGCCAGGGTGCATCTTGGACATAAGAAGGGCTGCAGACACAGGTTGGTATTAGTAAAGCTCATCAGCTCTTTATGTATTTTGTTACGTTGGATCTGCAGTGACATTGGGAGTTGTTTGGTTAGGGTCATCCATGTACCATAACCGCATACCGTATAAGTGCAGAGAAATAAATAATGGTAAAGCAACTCTATTTATTCAATCATTTGAGTGTAAAAGATTGGCCTGCAACTTTTTTTTCCTTATCAAGTAATCTGCTGGCTGTCTTCAAATACATTTATGATTCGTTTTGGGCTCTTAAATGTCAGAAACAACTGAAATATCACATTTTCTACACTCTCGGCACCGAATGTGTCGTCCTTAAATTAATTTTAAAGGGCTCATGCTCTACGATTCCAGTGAAACTATAATTGGCCATGCAATTCTTTGTTCACAGGTTCCCTTCAACAATGCCAATGTTTTAAAATGCAGCCACTAATCAGCTTGTTAGTTAGTTGCTGATTGTTATTTTTCAGTTGTACAACCAATCAAGAAATTAACAAATAGCTTCTGATCAACTAAAGGAAATTGACCAATGTTGTCTGTACTTTGGATTGACCTTGTTTCTGTTTTGATTTTCGAAAATATTACCAGTTTCAACCCAGTGGAGTAAATCTAGAGCATGGTAACTGTACAAATTCTGGACTGCCCTGTGTGTGCCCTGTATATGTATACGTATGTGTATATATGTTTATGTGTGTATATATATATACACACATATAGGCCTGTCACGATAAATAATTTTGTTGGACGATAAATGTTCCTGGAAATTATTGCGATAAACGATAATATTGTCGGCACCATTGTAAGACCATTTTAGACCACTGACATACTGATAATATATCATAATAATTCTAGTACATCCTTTCAAACAGAACTTTTTATTGAACATTCAACATTGCAAATGAAATGTGAAATAATATTAAAATATATAAATGATATATAATAAATAAAACAAATTAATTAAATTATAATAAATTAATAAAATCATACACAACCAAAAAAAATAAATAAAAATAGACTCAGGCTGGAAAACAGAGCTCTCAATCCATCTATCTATCCATCTCTATATAGATAGATATATATATATATATATATATATATATATATATATAATATATATATAAATAAATAAATATGAGCACACATTGTCTCACNCCTCACTCAAGAAAACAGTGTGTAAAATTTGGGAGGCTGCTCGGGAAGATGGCGGAGTAAGAAGCAACAACGTTGCAGGCTCGTAGAAAAAGTTTAGATTTGAGAATCTAAACTTTTTCTACGAGCCTGCAACGTTGTTGCTTCTTACTCCGCCATCTTCCCGAGCAGCCTCCCAAATTTTACACACTGTTTTCTTGAGTGAGGTCTACATAATCCAAATCACACACCCCATGAGCCACAGAGGCCGCTACTCTGTGGCTGTCACTACCCGAAAAGTGACCACGCCCTAATTTATGCAAAAACTAAAAGACCTAATATAAATAAAAGGGTCGTGTTAGAAAACAATTCACTCACAGATTCATAATCATGAAGGTGGAATCTAACTATATCGATAATAATATTTATTTCATCCATGGGTAGAAACATGTTTTTTTCTGCTGTAAAGTGGGGCATTTTAACATGGGGTCTATGGAAATTGTTCCTTTCTGCAGTCAGTCCCTAGTGTTGCATTTCCGTATTGGCGTGCCGGCTGTTCCCCAGAGTTTGCCGCTTGGTACTGACAGTGGCAGTTGCCGGAAGTACTTGCCACTGCCTGCAGATGCAATGAAATGCGCTTGCTGTCTCTCTATTTGCATGGATATAAGCCCCGCCCCCTGGCCAGTGCGTCTTGTTTGAATGATGCGAGTAAACACAGCTGACAGCTGCGGTGAAACCTTTATATATATAGGCTACAGTCTATGGGTGAAACTCGAATATTCGCATCGCATCCAGTGTGAGTTATACAAATGTACACCCCGAGTCTTGAAAAGGGAAGTTAGTGGGTCCTGGCCTATAGTTTACAACCAAAAACAAGAAGAAAAGGTCCGCCTGAGAGAATATTAGAGTAACTAATGGGGCGAATGTTAGCTAGCAGTGAGACTTGTCCTTTCTAGGGTCTAGCATTATTGTTTAAAAAATGAATAAGTTTAAGTGGTACATTTGTCAGTTAACATTTTAACTGCATAATGTGCCGAGAATAGAATGCTCAATAGTTAGCAACAGTAACCAAGGGGGACAGCAGGGAAATTGAATCATTTGGAAATAGTAACAGCTACCAAAACATAAAGCAGATTTATTTAAATTACATTAATTTAAATCACAAGTGAATGATAATCTGGTTGGAACAAACATGGATTGTAATTCCTCTACGAAGATGAAAAACTCAAGGAGTCCCACTCATCATCCAATCAAAACATCAGGTAAGTGAAATATGATCTTATAATGAATATTTCAGATAGTTATGCCCGTCAATTTGGTTAGCTAGTCGGCCTATTTAAAACTTCATCAAACACATCAAAGTCCCTCTTGGAACCTTGTACCTGTAGGGTGGTGACCCAATGTGTGTGACTAGAGCTAAAATCACATTCAACAACAAGCTTGTGTCATTACAGAAAATATATTGACAATATTGTTTCCAAGTTTAAAACTACCCTTTGTTGTATCATCATAAAACAACAATATAGTTTTAAAAAAAAACTCCATTATGAAATCCATCTCAAAGAGACACAGACACTACCTTTAGGTTAGGAAGTTGTAGGGATATTTAAGAGCTAAATGTTTTTGATACAAAGCCTTTACCAAATGAATCTGTAAAAGGATCAATGCAGTTCCATTTTGATTTCCAGGAAAACACACCGAAGCTGATTCCAGTGCAGCAAAACAGCTGGACAGCCCTGACCAACTTCTATCAAGAAAAAAGCCTGGACTCTCTCTAGAGGTAAAGCTCAATAAAGATTGTTTTACTTAAGAGATAGTGTAGAAGTATTATGTAACAAGTAAATGTCTTGTATTCAAAGTTGTTACTTAAAGGTGACCTATCATGCAAAATGCACTTTTGTACGTCTTTTATACATGAATATGTGTCCCCGGTGTTCCAGGGAACTCACCAATCTGGAATGTTCGGACCGTACATGATGTCGCAGAGGTCGCGAAAGCTTGCCGTTACAGGCACGACAGAGGATGCCTAACACAAACGGGTATCGGCATCGCGGTGAAGAATGCCAGTATCTTAGCACAAGTTTAGACCTAGTCAGCATAGTCTAGGCAACGTCTGGCAAAAATTCTCTAAACCTACCTCATTTTATCTCTTCCCAACACA